GTGCGCGCAGGGGAGGGGGAGGGGAGAACAGGGAAGGCGGGGGAGGGGGGAGTGAGATCACCTCCCCCGCCGCCCGCTCCGCCCCGCCGCGCCCTCGCCCCTCGTCCCAGCGGAGCGAGGCTGTGGAGCCCAGCGCGGGCTGGGAACCCCTGGTGGCCCCCTTGGGGAGGTCAGTGGGACCCGCACCCGCAGCCCCCAAGCCCCTGGCCGGATAGTGCCTCGCACCCCGGCGACCGAGCCACAGTGAAGGCTTGGGGCAGGTATCGGCCGGCGGGTGCTCCCAGGGCACGGGGCTGGGCCTTGAAGACATGAGTCGGGTGGGGAAACAGATCCCCCCCAGCCCCCTCCCGTCCCTCTAGGGTGCTGGCGAGCTATGGGCAACGACAAGCAACGCGGTCCTCGCCGTGCCCGGTCTTGAAGTGTTTGGACGCCCCCCAACCCACGGCAGGATTCCCGAACCCCTCCCTCCAATCCTAGGCGCCGGGTCCGGGAGGGCCACGATCTCAGTCAGCCAGGGATGCGCAGAGGGGCACAGGCTGCTGTGCACGCCAGAGCCCGGAGACAAGGAGGTCGTGGAGAGGGCGCCCCTCTAACTGCCACTCCCAATTCCCAGATATTCCTCTGACTCCCTGCCAGCTTTCCCAGGCTCGGCGTCTTATTTCTTTGTCGCGGGGGATTGGCCCCATCCCGACCTTTCCCGTTGGCCCCACTCTCCCTCAGCCCTGCCCTGGAAGCCTGGGGAAGGAGCTCTTCCCCAGCGTCCCACTAGGCTTGCGGCGGTCACGCAGAGGGCGCAGGAATTCCGGAGTGAGCCGAGCCGGCCCCAGGGCAAGGAAGGCCTAGGGCCCAGATGGCAGATTGCAGCCCTGGTGGCCACGGTATTTTTATGGGCATGCCTGATGCCCAGTGAAGCATTCCCGAGGCTCTCAGCTCAGCCTCCCGAGACCCTCCAAGCTCTGCAGGTGGCCCACGTGGGAGGGGCCCTGGCATCCTGGCCTGTAGTCCTCACCCCAACTGCCCATCTCCATGGGAGATTATGTTTATCCTGGAAGGGGAGGCTTGGAGTGGCCCTAGCTACCCTCAGGGAGGGTCTGGATGCCATGGGGGTCTTTAGCAGGAGCATGGACAATACTAGACACTTGAATGAAGGTGGAGGGCCCTTCACACCCAGCTCGCCCACCCCTAGGGCTGCCAGTGACCCACCACCATTTGCTTCTAGGAAACCCAGAGTGGGAGTGCTGGCAGGGCTCTTGTGCCAACAGGTCCAGCCCCTTCAGGAGCAGCAAGGAGGCTGAGCAGGGGAACAAAGCCAGTGGGCCAGGAGCTGGCTGTGAAGCACGGGGCCTGCTCACCCAACGGGGGGGGGAAGGGGGGAGGGGAGGCGGTATTTTCCATGAGGCACTGAGCTGTGGTATGCTTCCTGCCTGCTCTGATCCGACTTCTGATAGGCCGGCCTCTGCCTCCACTCACCCCCCACCCCCGAAGTTTCCAGCCTTTTCCCCTAGCCCCAACTTCTACAAATCCTGTATGGAATATAGGTTTTTTTGGGGTTTTTTAAAAGATTTTTATTGGGGAATTGGGGGGATGGGAACAGTGCTGGGGAATTGGGGGAAGGGGAACAGATAAGTTGCTGTCCTTTTGTTCTTCAGTCTAGTTGTGGAGAACGTTGCTTCACTGGCCCAAGTTGGCACCATCATTGCGCTCTTCCCAGGCGAGGCAGATCAGTCGCCGGCTTCTGGACGGCCGCTCACTGCGGCTGCTGGCCGCTCACGCTGGCTGCTTGCTACACACGGTAGCCCATGGCAACCCACTGCCACAGGGGCTGCAGCCTATGCTGTCGCCGGCGACTCACAGCAGCCCAGCTCCAGGTTGAGCTGTTGTTCAGCATCTTAGCTGTAGAGGGCAGTGTCACTGGCCTTCATATGTGGGATCCGAACCAGGGCCCTCTGGCATCCCAAGCCAGTTCTTAACCATCGCGCCACTCGGCCGGCCCTGGAATATAGGGTTTGATGCTGATCACTGCGACAATGGCAGGAGTAAACTAAGAGGAGGACAGAATCCCTTTAGTATGTTCCACTAAAGTGCATAATGATAGGTTCAGTCTCCATTTATTATACTACTACCCATCGCTATTATTACACAAAATCACATTTATTGAGCCTACCATTGTTCTAAGCACATTTCATGTATTAGCACATTTATTTTGCACACCAACCAGTGGGGGGTCAGTCATTAGCCCAAATGACAGATGAGGAAACTGAACCCCAAAGCTGGCAAGGAATATGTCCAGGGCGCACAGCCAGGAAGAGCCTCTCTTCACTAGTTCATTACATCTACACATGACTTTGTGATGAAGCTTCTGTTATCATCCTCATCCTCCAAGTGAGGAGCCCCAGGTCCAGAGAGGTAGTCATGCAGCCTGGAGGCGCTGTGCCAAGCATTCCCTGTACATTTGCTCACTGATTCCTCAGCCCATCACTATGAAGTAGGCACCATTTCACAGATGAGGAAACTGAGGTTCAGGCAGACCAAGTGATTTACCCAAGATCACCCAGAAGGTAAGTGGCAGAGCTGGGATTTGAACTTGCTTCTACGTATGTGACTGCAAAGCCCGTTCTCCCACTGCCTTTTGCCAAGATGGAGGGGACAATGGGGGCAAGAGCAGGAACAAGAGAAAACTTTGGGCAGAGCAAGTCCCAGGAGAAACAGGAGGGGTTGGCCTTGAACAGGAGGTTTGCCAACACTGCTGCCACATGCTTGCTGAGGAAGTTGGGGGAGTACAGGACAGAGAGCTGGGTCTTGCCCCTTCACACCCCCTTCAATGGCAAGTGCTCCTCACAGCTCCCCGTAACCCACCCCTCTTGGGCACAGTCAAATAATTAAGGGCATCCCCAGAGTCTGGCCAGACACCCCCCAAAAACAGCCCCCCATATGATGAGGGGGCAAGAGTCACAGAAGCGAGTGGAGCAGGAAGAAAGTGCCAGTGGGTTAGCAGGATGGGCTCATGAAGCTGACCTATCTTTCTGTACTCATCCCCTCTCAATCTGTATCTTCGTTCTTAGGTGTATCTCTCCTTTTTTTTAAAATAGATTTTATTGGGGAATCGGGGAAGGGAACAGACAAGTTGCTGTATTTTTTTTGTTCTTCAGTCTAGTTGTGGAGGACGTTGCTTCACTGGCCCATGTTGGTATTATCATTGCGCTCTTCCCGGGCAAGGCAGATCAGTCGTCGGCTTCTGGACGGCTGCTCACACTGGCTGCCAGCCACTCACGCTGGCTACCAGCCACACACGGTAGCTCACGGCAGCCCACTGCAGCAGGGGCTGCAGCTTAGGCCGTCGCCGGTGACTCACGGCAGCCCAGCTCCAGGTCGAACTGTTGTTCACCATCTTAGCTGTAGACGGCAGTGTCACTGGCCCTCATGTGGGATCCGAACCGGGGCCTTGATGCTCAGAGCTGGCATCCCAAGCCAGCTCTTAACCAATGCACCACTCAGCCGGCCCTTTGTTCTTTCTTTTTTTTCTTTTTTTAATTGATATGATGCCTGCTTGTATTATTCTTGAAGAAAAATGCTTTATTGTAAACAAACAGAAGGTGTGATCGAATTGTAAATTATAGTGATGTTTTGCAATGCTTGATTTTATTTTTTTTTAATTTGTATTTTTAATTTATTTTTTAAATTAGTTTCAGGTGTGCAACACAGTGCACTAGTTATACTTGTTACCCCTCCTTAGGTGTAGCTCTTGAAACAGCATATAGTTTGGTTTGGTTTAATTTGATCCAGTCTAAAAATCCCTATGTTTTTTTTAAAAATCAGTTTTATTGAAGTATAATTTACGTACAGTAAAATTTGCCCTTTTGGAGTGTACAGTTCAATGAGTTTTGATAAATGTCCTGCAACCACCATCAAAATCAAGATACAGAACATTTCCATCACCTCCCCAAATTCCCTCATGCTCTTTTTCAGTCCACCACTCCCTCCAGCCCCAGCTCCCAGCCCCTGGCTCCCACTGGTCTACCTTCTATCTTTGCTAGAATTTATTACAGAGTCCTATAGTATGTAACTCTTTCGTTGGCTTCTTTTGCTCAGTGTAGATTTTGAGATTCATCCATGTTGTGTGTGTGTGTCTGTTTCAGCAGTTTTCCCTTTTTATCACTGCGTAGTATGCCATTGTTTGCTTAGCCGTGCACCCACTAATGAACATCTGGGTTGTTTCTAGCTTTGCTCAAAACTCACAGAGAGTGAAGGTTTGAGGCAGGAAGCAGAAATCGCTCTGGCCATCTTACACAGAAAGGGATTTTGTACACGGAATTGTATACAACCATCAGAAGGGCCAGAGGGTGTGTTCTGGGCGGGGTCCACAGGACACCACCACGGAACTGGCTCTCCAAAGGAGCTGCTACCTCTGCCACTATCAGAAAGGTAGGGGAACAAGCGGCCACCAGTGTAACTGTTGAGTTCAAGAAGACACACACCACCATAGTCACGAGCCAGGGGTCAGCAAGCTGGGACCTGAAAGTCGTCACTTACATGAGAAGCAGAGGCTGGACACAGGAGCATTGCTGCTGAAGCCCCACATCTCTTTGACCTTGATATCCAGCAGAAAATCAGCTCCACAGAGCAGGAAGATGGCCTCCCCTTCCTTCAGCCTTCTGAATCTTGTGTGAATGTACCTACCTAATTGGCAAAACTTAATTTGCATCCCAGAGCCTGGCTGCACAGTCTGGGATATACCCCAACTTGGCAGTAAGTACAAAGGCACATTAAAAGGAGGTGGGAG